GGGGCAGAGAGAGGAGGAGACACAGAATCCCAAGCAGGCTCCAGGCTCCGAGCTGTCAGCGCAGAGCCCGGCGCGGGGCTCGAACTCACGGACCGTGAGATCATGACCTGAGCTGACGACAGATGCTCAACCGACTGAGCCACGCAGGTGCCCCGTGAAAACTTATTTTAAAAGTAAGTGGAAAAAATGTTAACTAACTGGAATTAAAATAAAAACTTAAAGGGAGTTGGTTGAGCGTCCAACTCTTGATTTTGGCTCAGGTCACGATCTCATGGTTGGTGAGACTGAGTCCTGCGTCGGGCTCTGCACGGACGGCACGGAACCTGCTTGGGATTCTCTCTCTCCTTCTCTGTCTGCCTCCCTACTCCTCAAAATAAATAAATAAACTTAAAAGAAAATAACAACTTAAAACAATAAGTGAAAAGGAAAGTCACGGACGTGAAAGGAAATTTGCAATACATATCATTGATAAGGGACTCAGGGTCCAGTTCAAAGACAGAAATCCCACCAATGATCTGACCAGAGAGAAGTTAATAGATGTGGTCGTTCATGACGTCCAAAGTTAACTAGATAACTGTCCAACAAAATAAAAACGTCTAGGGGCATCTGGGTGGCTCAGTTGGTTAAGCGCCCGACTCTTGATCTCAACTCAGGTCACGATCTCACGGTTTGTGGGATCGAGCCCCACATTGGGGCTCTGTGCTGACAGCATGGAGTCTACTTGGGGTTCTCTCTCTCTGCCCCCCTCTCTGTCTCTCAAAATAAATAAGTGAACTTAACAAAACAAGACATCTGAAGTCTCTCTGACGCATCAGCTGCAGGAAGCGATGACCACCTCCAGGGCTAGGGGCAGAGAAGAGGTTCCTATCACCAAGTAATTATCACCAAGCAACACAGAAGAGGAACAGCACGGAGCTGAGGTCAGACTTTGGAGGCAGGAGCACTGGCAGCTTCAGCTGGCGTCCCTGCACCGAGCGTCCCAATGGCTGGGGACCCAGACCCCGGGGGAGGGGCACCCGCCGGCTGCCGCCTCCGAGGGCCGGCCGCATGATAAAGTGGATTCTGTGCTTGTCGGAAAAGCCACGGACCGGATTCGGCAGCTGCTTCAGGACAAAACTGTGAAGAATCTTTACACGCTGGCAGGAATTCCACAGGAAGCAGAGAGGAAGGAGGAGGGCTCCCCAGTCTACCTCCCAGAGCTTCCCAGGGAGACGCTGGCAAAGGGCAAAGTGAGGTTGGCGGGGACCTCGCAAGGCACAGCGTAAAGGATGTTTGAGATCACGTTGAACGTAAAGGCGGCGGGCGATGAGCCAGAAACTTCCGGACTGCCACAGTCCTGCCCTTTGTTCATCCAGCTGGCGAACGTTCATTTCTGAGCGGACGGGAACTTCCTATAACAGAAGCAGAAACAGAACACCCAGCCCTACGTGCCTGCCCGAGAAGATGAAGCGTGTCGTGCTGGAGCCAGGCGGTCGAGCCTCCCCCGGCCCCGGCGGGACGAGACGCCGTCCCTGGCGACCCTTCCCATTCGGTCTCCTTCTGTCTGAATCTTCTGCCTGAAACCAGATTGCAGCGTCCACTCCCAACAGCGCTTCCCGAAAACGCCAAGGGGGACGAGGAGATCTTAAAAGCCGCGAGACACAAACACGTACACACTTAAGGGGCATCGGAGCACAGACAGCTGTCACCGCGCCCGCCCCCGTACCGTCCCCTGTCGGGGGTCCCTCGCCCGCGGCAGCATCTCCGCTGGGCACGGTTTCTTTAACTAACGGGGTGCCTTAGACCTTCGTCCCCGGGGGGGGACAAACCTCCAGTTATCGGGCTACTTATTTACTTTTGGTTGTGGTAGCCCTCTATTTACTTTGGGCGGCAGAAATACCAAAACGCACCTCAGATGACTCCCTGGGTTCGAGCCTTGCCTCTTCCTGCTCTCAGCGTGAAGTGACAACCCACCTTGTCCCTGGTATGAGGGCTCCACGGCCCCAGCCGGTGAGGTCACCCTCTCCTTAGTGTTTCGACGCGGCGGCATGAGGGCCCCCACGTTTCTGGGTGGGAGCCTCGTCTTCCAAATCGAAGGAGCCATTGCGGATTTCCGGGGGGACTTTCCTCCCTCGAGAACCAAGACTTCCAACCCAGTCGAAGCTCAGAGGTGGGGGGGGGGG